TGGTAATTCCATTTCTTAACGGTTGGCTGTGTAACGTCACATTTCATCGTATTTCGTAGCCTAAACTAATGTAAGAAACGGTCGAAATTTGCTATCAACAGTAGGATGACAATATCTCTGGGACGTTAGCACATTTAACACGCGTTTAAATTATATTTTCTCTTTATTGATAACATGACTTACCGATATGCCCAAAATATGTATACCATGGAATGTCTGAGCTAAGAAGGCTTTGAAGTATAATTATTTGGAAGAACCAGTATTTCTCTAACGTCACATCCGGGTATGGTCATTTTAAGCCTGATGCTGCATGTGGCAACAAAATCCACAGTTAATACGACGTATGCTGATATGTGTGACATTGATGCGTTTGGGAAGGACACAATTTGTGTCTGTAAAATTCAAGAAGTGTCTTAATCAGCTTAGAAACATTTCAACACCGAGAGTACATATTCATGCATCTGCCTCGACGATCAGTTTTCGTTCCGCCTGTGCTTTTCTAACGAATGCTACGTGGGGAGATATCTTGGTGACATGACGAAACTCAGATATTCATTTTCATACCTAAATACCGTCCCTACGTTCCAAACTCATGAATTCTCCTTAGATTTAACCCACTTTATAATTCCTATTGAATGAAAAGCGACCAAAAATGCACGAATCGGATGTGATATGCTGGGGCAGGGGAGGAGGGAGGGGGGGGGGGGGGGGGGGGGGCTGGGACGCGAGCTGTCAGCTGGAGACGCAAAAAAGTATAAGTTGTTCTGGTGCATAGTCCCAAATCGATACAAACCTGCTGCGTCATAAGCTAGGTGTTCTTGTCCCCTCATCTTCCAACTCACATCACACGATTACGGCTTTCATGAAAGACTGGTGAAAGCGTGAAAACAAACACTTCTGTGCGAGTCACTATAACTCCCACCCTGGAAAAGGCATGCTTGCTTGTGATAAAATCCCATGGTCTGAGCATTTTTTTTAAAGCTTCACATAAGACAGTTCAGGTCACAACAATATCATAGCTTAGCACTCCTGCGATTAAACAGCAGGGTGTTTTCAGCATTCTTGAGGATTCCACAGCTTTCCGCAGGCTTCTGTGCAAAAACGGGAAAACTGCAAGCATACTTCTGGACAGTCTTGTGATCCGGAGCTGCAGCCTTGTAAGCGATGGAGGAGGGGCTCTCGGAACGACGGGCTTTCGTGGTGAAACAGCCAGAGATCACCACTTGCTGCAACAAAGTGGCTGTGGAACTCTGCGGATCGTGCGAAGGCTACGCCACCATCAAACACATGTAGTTATACATCTACCCCAACGAGAATAACTGCTTGCCTTCAGAGACAACAAGAAAGTCTGAGTAGCACATTGTATTCAAATACAACCATTTAGAAGACATCATAACAAAACGTGTATTCGCTTAAATAGGCGGTCGTTCTCAGTATTTGATTAATATGCCGCAGACTTGTATGGCGGCACGGGAGAGCTGTAAGCAGAATTGAAGACAGGCTTGTGAACCGGAGCAACAGCCTCGTAGGCAGGGGCGGGATGGTACTCGGGGTACTGGGCTTCTCCCTCGTAGGTGACCTCAGCGTTGTAGCCGCCGTAGTTGTCAGCGATGTACTTGACGTGCTGGACACGGCCGTCGGGCAGAGCCACCGAGTAATATCCCTGGATGTTGTGGCCATCGCTCTCCTCCTTCTTGGCGAAGTTGGTACCGGTGTAGTGGTCATTGACGGCGTAGTCATAGGAGAAAGGCTTAGCCCCCTGCGTGTACTGGGGCTCCGGGTGGTAAGAGGTCGTCTTGTAGGCCGGGGCGGACTTGTACACCGGTGCCTCCGGAGCTGGGGCGGCAGCTGCAACAGCCAGCACGGCGGCAACGACGAGAACCTGCAATGTCATAGAAGACATGTTATCAATGAGTCGTTGATTCCACCATCTTTATTATTTTCCGACCATGATACATTTGATGGAAAAATGTGTAGCACGGGACAAATTGCCACATCAACCACATAGTTCAAGCACGTGCCTGCATGCTGTGTTTTGGTGGCCGAGTGTGCAGTGCAACTGATGCCTGCTTCTGCAGTACTTTCGCTTTTATAGGCCGGCCGCCAACCATTGATGGAAGGCCACGGTCATTACCTCACTGAACAGACTGCCCCCACGTGTTTGCTATCGACCGTGCTGGTGCCGCCACGGACTGACATGGACCCGTAGTCACTACCTCATACACGCACCACTCCTGACATGCGATTTTGTGCCCCTTAAAACAACTGTTCCACATCTGAAGATATTGAGGTGGGCACCAGTTATAATGGTAAAACTCATTTGTAAGTGTTGTTATGCGTCGAAGGGCAAAGGACTGCTGTAAATAGCACAATTTCATTATTCAGTAAATATGCTCCTTTATGCGTCATCTTTTGAATATGTTGCAGACCGTTTTTACGTCATTAGAGTCTTTACCAGAGTTGCCTTGCCAGAGGTGTGCCACTATAGCGGAAAGTGACTCACTTATGTACTTCTGCTTGCCGTAACGATGGCGTCGTTTGTTTAGGTGAGGAAATTTTGGTGCAAGCGTTAGTTGTGAGACATGCAAACGGCAGCGCAATCTGGCTGTTTGCCATTTGCCTTATGACGTCATACGTTTACCATAGGAGCCAAGTTCAGCCAGATGATGCGTCACCACCTATGTCTCTATGAACGTCACAGGTTTAGGCAGGTAGGCAAGTACCCTACCAATACAAAATGTCATCCACCTTACCTAACTACGTGCAAGTCAAAACGTGTCCTGCACAGACCGACACTTATCTGGTAAAAATACCGCACGTCTATACATACAAAAAGCATATGGAGTATCTTCCACAACGCACCGCACTTGCCGCCAATGTATCTGGCGCACTTAGAGCAGACAAAACAAAATACAGCAGACAATAGACTCGCCGCGCTTACCACTTCCTCACATCACTGACGGCGTCCCATCCACAGGGCTCGAGGCCATGCAAATTCGAACTGCATTGTAATAGCTTGCCCCTTCAGGTTGTCACGTAGTTCATCAAACTGGCCGATGAGTTCGACGCAGTCGGTCCGCTGGTCACCTATGTCTGCCACCACGTTTATTCGTTCTAAGTATGAAGGTAGCCCGATGTTCCTGCTACCCCAATGGGAATAAAACTGGTGCCTCCACTTCTTGTGCCATTGCATTGTAACAGCTTGCCATATGGGCTTGCACGTCCTGGCGTCATATCTGCCACAAACTTCTACGTTACTGGCTTGCTGGTCATATGCACATTCTCAATTGGTCTTTTCACTATCCGCACGAAAGTGTCTGGTTTCCGTTTGCCTCTCAGCGTGACGTGCGGAGACTAGCGTCCTGACGTGCGTCATGACATGCATCGAAGTCTAGGCACCAGCGACGTCACGCTGACGTTAAACGAAGATGGGGTGAAAGTCACCATATAGTTTTACCTCTCTTATTACGTATTGTTCCGATGTAGATATGACAGAAGTAAGGTATATTTTTTCTCATCTTGCTTCCATCTTTTCCAGTAAACATTTCCATCAACACTTTCTAACCGCTTCCTCACCAACTTCTTTGCACATTTCCTAAAGTTTTTTAAGAGATGGTAAGACATCAGTTTTTGATACATCTTAAGAACTTATTTTACTGTCACCTTTCAACTCATGCCATAACGTTAATTAATCTACCAAGCTGTGGGAATTTGATGTGAACTTTTTCATGATAAACGTCTATCGCGTCAAAACATTTCAGTTGCGTTTAAGTTTGATTAACCTTTTATTAGAAGCATGGTCTACCCTCGTGCGAAAAACTTGAACACCATGAAATGCCTGAGATAAGACTTTGAACTAGAATTTTTGGGTAGAACTAAGATGTCGCTTACATCACATCAGGATATTGTTACCTAAGGCATAGTTATGTAATTGGGAACATAATCCGCAGTTGAAAATGACGTAGGCCGATAAGTGTGGCATCCATACGTTTGAACAGGACACGGTTCATGTCCGTGAAAGTCAACTGAAAGCTTACATAGCTCTTAAAAACATTTCAAATCCAAGGATACATATATCCACAGCTGTTTGGACGGCCAATTTCCGTTCCCGCCGGCGCTTTGGCTAGAAATGCTCTGTAGGAGGACATCTTGATGACATGACCGATCTCAGATATCCATTCTCCTACATTCATACCACACCTATGCTCCCAAATTCTGAACTACCCGCCATACCCGGGTGATGACACCAAAACTGACGTGATGGGTTGTGATCCCATGGACCAAAACGCGACTGGATCTCGGTCGGAACAGCTGTCAGCTGGAGATGAGAGGGAAGAATAAAGTGCTCATACAAATAGTTCTGGGTTGTTGGCATGATTGCTTAGGGTTCAGGGTATTACCAAAAAAGGTCGACATGAAACTGCTGCATCATGAAATACACATCCTTTGCCATATATCTTCTAACTCACCTGCAAAAATCAAACGATCTGCCCATATACATCATGCATCACATTATGGTCAACTCCTTAGAGGTGGGCATGTACAAGGAATTCCGTGCGAATTTGTCAGGGCAGCCGGTGACACCGTTGGAGGCATCTGTTCACTGGAATCTGACCGTGACCTTCTATCAGTGGTTAGCGGCCGACCTATAAAAGCGAAAGCACCAAGGGAGCAGACATCACTTGCACTGTACACACAGCTGTCGGAGCACAACATGCAGGTTTGTACTGGAATCATACCATTGATATGATGCCTGCTGGTTACTAGAGTTTATTTAAAGCCATGTACATTCTTGACTTAGCGATGCGACATGCATTGCACCGAGGGTGAGGTTGTGAGATATATCGTAGCAAAACTGCGTCACTAAAATGACCGCCTGATCCGTCATATATCCTGTACGGCATTGCAGGGCTTCGTCATTGCCGTCGTCCTGGCCGTCGCCGCCGCCGCCCCGGCACTGGAGACGCCGGGCTACAAGCCCACTCCGGCCCCCTACCACCCGGCCCCCTCCTACAAGCCGGCGTCTTACCACCCGGGGCCCCAGTACGAGGAGGAGGCCAAGCCGTTTGCTTACGACTACGCCGTCAACGACCACTACACCGGCACCAACTTCGCCAAGAAGGAGGAGAGCGATGGCCACAACACCCAGGGATATTACTCGGTGGCTCTGCCCGACGGCCGTGTCCAGCACGTCAAGTACGTCGTCGACAACTACGGCGGCTACAACGCTGATGTCACCTATGAGGGAGAGGCCCAGTACCCACAATACCACCCCACCCCTGCCTACAAGGTTTCTGCACCTGCCTATAAGGCTGCCGACCCAGCATACAAGCCTGTCCTTAAGTCTGCGTACAGCAATGCCGCCCCGCCTGCGACATACTAGTAACGGGGTTAGAACAGGTGCTTAGTTGTGTACATTTAGGTTTTCGTCATGATGATTTTCGTTTCTTGCCTTGCGGTACGTGAATAAAAGATTCGTTCGAGGTATGCGGTTTTGACGGAGGCAATCCCACGCCTTCCACCTGATCCAGATGTCATCCGACTCTGACAATTTTTTTTTTGTAAACCGACGCTAGCGACAACAGCAACATTTATAATGACAAGTAAGCAATGTTCTTTGGCGGACTGCTGATGATTACAGCGCTTCATGTTTGCAGACTTCGTACATTTTCGTTGACATTGTAGAGAAATTCAACATAAGCTTGTATGAAAAAGTTTCTGTCATCACTACAAGCGGTGTGCTATGAAAGCATCACACTAAAACTTACTGATATGGGGCAACCAGCACATTGTCTTATTAAACACCTCTGACCCGCGACCGCCTAAGGGCTGAACACATCTTCTACCTCGTTGCTGGACGACGCCTAAACCGTGCCAAGCAAGTACACTTCGTTTCCAGCGCCACGGGCGGTCAAGTTGTCATGTTGTTTGGTTATGTGGCTCTCGATGTCAGCGTGGGTTACGGAGTCATGACGACTACCGTTAAGGCTCGCAAGATATTTTCGCCCCCACTTGCAAAAACCGGTGGGCGTGTACCAGGAATTCCGTGCGAATTCGTCAGCGCAGCCGGTGACACCGTTGGAGGCGTCCGTTCACTGAAATCTGACCATAACCGCCTATCAGTAGCTAGCGGCCGACCAATAAAAGCGAAAGCACCAAGGGAGCAGACACCACTTGCACTGCACACCCGGCCTTCAGAACACACCATGCAGGTGAGGGCTGGAATAATACCATTGATATGGTGTCCTGTTGGCTATGAGACAGTTCATTTCACACCAAGTGCACTCTGGGATTCGCGATGTGACTGAAATTGCACAGATACTTCGCATCAAACCTGTGTCATTAAAGTAACCGCTTGATATATCACACATTCTCTACTACATTGCAGGTCCTCGTCGTTGCCGCCGTGCTGGCCGTCGCCGCCGCCGCCCCGGCACCGGAGGCGCCGGGCTACAAGCCCGCTCCGGCCCCCTACCACCCGGCCCCTTCCTACAAGCCGGCCTCTTACCATCCGCAGCCCCAGTATAAGGAGGAGGCCAAGCCGTTTGCCTACGACTACGCTGTCAACAATCACTACAGAGGCACCGACTTTGCCAAGAAGGATGAGAGCCATGGCCACAACACCCAGGGATATTACTCGGTGGCTCTGCCCGACGGCCGTGTCCAGGACGTCAAGTACGTCGCCGACAACTACGGCGGCTACAACGCTGAGGTCAGCTACGAGGGGGAGGCCCAGTACCCCCAGTACCACCCCGCTCCTGCCTACAAGGCTGCCGCTCCGGTGTACAGGGCTGTTCACAAACCTGCGTACAGCCATTCCGCCCAGGCACACAAGCCTCTGGCATACTAGCCAAACAGTGAGAACGACCATCTGTGAAAGTTCATTAATTTTGAGTTGTGATGATTTCTCGTCGTTTGCACTTCAATACAATGAGGCGCTTAAGCCTTGTGGTCTGGAGACAAGACTCCAAAGATATGATATGCCTGCTTGGCCTGCTTATAGCAATTCCGCTTCGGCGCATGAGTCTGCGACGTACTAGTCACAGCATGAGAGCGGTTATTCATTTAAATCCATTAATAAATTCGTGAAGATGATTGTCGTTTCTTGAGCTGCGTTACATAAATACAGAGATTCGTCCGAGTCGCGCGGTTTTGACGGAGGTAGTCCTAGGTTTTTCGTCACAATGTCTCTCTTCCGGCTGTGAGAAAAGACGTTCGCATGAACCGAAGCTTGAAACCACAATGCTATTTAACACCACTAGGTTTGTCCTGTCATGGATGGCTAGTGCTTAGAGCGCGTTATCTTTGCAACCTTGTACAATTTTCGGTAAATTGTAGAATATTTCAACATATTTTTCCAAAAGGAAACTGTCTTTTGTGAATACAGGGGATGTCCTGTAAAATCATTACGCCGAAACTGCTTGACATGTGAATATCAGCACATGGTCATATAAAACGCCTCTGACCCGCAACTGTCTGAATGCTGAGAAGATGCTGTCCCTTGTTGTTATAGCGACCCCAAGTTGTGCTAAATAAGTACACTACGTTTACAGTGTCGCCAGGAGATCAAGCTGCCACGTTAGGTGGAAAATAGGCTCTGGGTGTTCGGTTGGGTCATAGGGTCATAGTGCCCGCTGTGAAGTTTCTCGAGACATTTTCGTTTCCACTCGCAAAAATGCCCAAATTTCGTCGTTGTCTTCAAGTGTTTTTACACGTATTCGGGTAGGGGTCAAATTGACCGCTCAAAAGGTTCCTCGAAATGGCTTCCGAACGGCACGGTGAAGCCGCGCAAAGTTTTGATGGCTGTAGACAATGTGATAGTAAATTGCCTGACAACAAAAAATGGGATATACGTTGTAAGGTGGCCGATCTACGGCAGATCACGTTCAGGCCATGGCTTCAGCGAAGTCAATTTCTAAAGAATCATTCAATCTGATGCAATAACGGAGTGTTAGGCACAGCCATATATCTCTGAGATACTTTCTTAGACAGCACAACAATTGAATGAACAAGTTTTATCGACCTAGGGTCAGGTATGAATGTGAGACCGAGGTGAAAACCAACCTGCTTTATTACTCAAATGCTTGCTGTATGGCGTGGTTTCTGGTGCTAATATTAAACTTATTGATAACAGGAACGGTATTATATATCTTCCATATACCTTTTATAGGTCAAAATAGGTCGTTGACCTAAATGATCCAGGTCAAAGTTTTATTTTTAGGAGCATAGTGCATAGCGTGATGCTTATCACTTGTTCAAATGCAAGGCAGTCTTGGCAGTCTTAACAGCTAAGACTGACACGCTTTCACAGACACGCACGGTTTTACTTCTCTTTACTTCACACGGACACGCACGGTTTTACTTCTCTTATTGCACATCGTTCCGATGGAGATGTGATATAACTAAGCTGTATTCCTTCTCATCTTGCTTCCACCTTTTCCATTAGACCTTTCTGTCAACACTTTTTAACGCCTCCTTACCAATTTCTTTGCACAGTTCTCAGAGTTTTTAAGAAACGGTAATGACATCAGTTTTTGATGCATCTACAGAACTTATTTTGCTACGTCACCTTTAAACTCATGTCATAACGTTAATTAGTCTAGGAAGTTGTTGAAATTTGATGTAATTTTTTAATGATGATATGTCTGTTGCGTTAAAACATTTAAGTTGGGTTTAAATTTGATTTCCCTTTTATTAGAAACCTGGCTTACCTTCGTGCCAATACTTGAACACCATAGAATGACTGAGCTAAGAAGGCTTTTAACAAGAATCCTTGGGTTGAACTAAGATTTCGCTTTCAACACATCAGGATTTTGTCATCTCAAGTCTAGTTATGTAATTGGGAACATAATCCGCAGTTGAAAATGGCCTATGCCGATAAGTGTGACATCCACACATTTGAACAAGACACGGTTCATGTCTGTAAAAGTTAACTGAAAGCTTAACCAACTCTTGAAAACAGTTGGAAACCAAGGATATATAAACACGCAGATGATTGGACGGCCTGTTTCCGTCGCCGCCAGCGCTTCTGTTAGAAATGATCTGTAGGAGGACATCTTAATGACATGGCCGATCTCAGATATCCATTCGCCTACCCTCATACCATACCTATACTCGCAAATTCTGATTTCTCCATAAATTTAACCCACTTTATATCTACTTTTGGATGAAAAACGACCAAAAATGAAGCGATGGGCTGCAATTCGATGGGACCAAACGTGACTGGATCGCGGTCAGAACAGCTGTGAGTTGGGGATGGGAGCGAAGAGTAAATTGCTCATACAAATGCTTCTAGGCTCTTGGTATGACTGCTTAGCCTTCAAAGTGTTGTCAAAAAAGATCGACGTGAACCTGCTGCGTCATAAAATATGCTTAATTTACCATATATCTTCTACCTCACCTGCAAAAATTAAACGATCTGCCCATATACATCATGCATCACATTATGGTCAACTCCTTAGAGGTGGGCGTGTACAAGGAATTCCGTGCGAATTGGTCAGGGCAGCCGGTGACACCGTTGGAGACGTCCGTTCACTGGAATCTGACCGTGACCTTCTATCAGTGGTTAGCGGCCGACCTATAAAAGCGAAAGCACCAAGAGAGCAGACACCACTTGTACAGCATACCCAGATCGGAACACAACATGCGGGTGTGTACTGGAATAATGTCATGGATATGATGCCTGCTGGTTACTAGACAGTTTATTTCAAGCCATGTACACTCCGGCCTTAGCTATGTGACATGCATTGCACAGAGGGTGAGGTTGTGAGATATATCGTAGCAAAACTGCGTCACTAAAATGACCGCTTGATCCGTCCTACATCCTCTACGGCATTGCAGGTCCTCGTCGTTGCCGCCCTTCTGGCTGTCGCCGCCGCCGCCCCGGCACCGGCGACGCCGGGCTACAAGCCCGCTCCGGCCCCTTACCGCCCGGCCCCCGCGTACAAGCCGGCCTCTTACCATCCAGAGCCCCAGTACAAGGAGGAGGCCAAGCCGTTTGCTTACGACTACGCCGTCAACGACCACTACACCGGCACCAACTTCGCCAAGAAGGAGGAGAGCGATGGTCACAGCACCCAGGGATATTACTCGGTGTCTCTGCCCGACGGCCGTGTCCAGCACGTCAATTACGTTGTCGACAACTACAGCGGCTACAACGCTGATGTCACCTACGAGGGAGAAGCCCAGTACCCCCAGTACCACCCTGCCCCTGCCTACAAGGTTTCTGCACCTGCCTATAAGGCTGCCGCTCCGGCCTACAGGCCTGTCCAAAAGTCTGCTTACGGCAATGCCGCTCCGGCATACAAGCCTGCGACATACTAATAACGGGGTTAGAACGGGTGCCTATTTGTCTACCTTTAGGTTTTCGTCGTGATTATTTTCGTACCTTGCCTTGCGGTACATGAATACAAAGATTCGTTCGAGTTATGTGATTTTGACGGAGGCAATCCCGCGCCTTCCATCTGATCCAGATGTCATCCGACTGTGACAAATATATTTGTAAACCGACGATGAGGACAACATTTATAATGACAATTAAGCAATTTTCTTTGGTGGATTGCTGATGCTTACAGCGCTTCATGTTTGCAGGCTTCTTAAATTCTTGGCATCATTGTAGAGAAATTCAAAATAAGCTTGCCGGAAAAAGATTCTGTCATCACTACATGCGGTGTACAATGAAAGCATCACACTTAAACTTCCTGATATCGGGCAATCAGCATATTGTCTTATTAAACACCTCTGACCCGCGACAGTCTAAGTGCTGAACACATCTTCTTCCTCGTTGTTGGACGACGCTTAAACTGTGCCAAGCAAGTACACTACGTTTTCAGCGCCACGGGCGGTCAGGTTGTCATGTTATGTGATTATGTGGCTCTCGATGACCGCGTGGGTCACGCAGTCATGGCGCCTACCGTAAAGGCTCGCAAGATATTTTCACCCCCACTTGCAAAAACCGGTGGGCGTGTACCAGGAATTCCGTGCGAATTCGTCAGCGCAGCCGGTGACACCGTTGGAGGCGTCCGTTCACTGAAATCTGACCATAACCGTCTATCAGTGGTTAGCGGCCGACCTATAAAAGCGAAAGCACCAAGGGAGCAGACACCACTTGCACTGTACACCCGGCCTTCAGAACACACCATGCAGGTGAGGGCTGGAATAATATCATTGATATGGTGTCCTGTTGGCTATGAGACAGTTCATTTCACACCAAGTGCACTCTGGGATTTGCGATGTGACTGAAATTGCACTGACACTTCGCATCAAACCTGCGTCATTAAAGTAACCGCTTGATATATCACATATTCTCTACTACATTGCAGGTCCTCGTCGTTGCCGCCGTGCTGGCTGTCGCCGCCGCCGCCCCGGCACCGGAGACGCCGGGCTACAAGCCCGCTCCGGCCCCCTACCACCTGGCCCCTTCCTGCAAGCCGGCCTCTTACCACCCGGAGCCCCAGTATAAGGAGGAGGCCAAGCCGTTTGCCTACGACTACGCTGTCAGCAATCACTACACAGGCACCGACTTTGCCAAGAAGGATGAGAGCGATGGCCACAACACCCAGGGATATTACTCGGTGGCTCTGCCCGACGGCGTGTCCAGGACGTCAAGTACGTCGCCGACAACTAGGGCGGCTACAACGCTGAGGTCACATACGAGGGAGAGGCCCAGTACCCCGACTACCACCCCGCTGCTGCCTATAGGGCTGCTGCTCCGGTCTACAAGGCTGTTCACCAACATGCGTACAGCCATTCCACCCCGGCACACAAGCCTCTGGCATACTAGCCAAACAGTGAGGACGACCATCTCCATGGAAGTTCATGAAGACCATGGAAGTTTACGAATTTTGAGTTGTGATGATTTCTCGCCGTTTGCACTTCAATACAATGAGGTGCTTATGCCTTGTGGTCCGGACGCAAGCCTCCAAAGTTGTGGTATGCCTGCTTGGCCTGCTTATAGCAATTCGGCTCCGGCATATGAGCCTGCGACGTGCAGGTCACGGGATGAGAGCGGTTATTCAGTTAAATCCATTAATAATTTCATGATGATGATTGTCGTGTCTTGAGCTGCGTTACGTAAATACAAAAAATTGTCCGAGTCGCGCGGTTTTGACGGAGGTAATCCTACGTTTTTCGTCAAAATGTCTCTCATCCGGCTGTGAGAAAAGACGTTCGCATGAACCGAAGCTCAAAACCACAATGCTATTTAAAACAACTAGGTTTGTAATGTCATGGATGGCTAGTGCTTAGAGCGCGTTATCTTTGCAACCTTGTACAATTTTCGGTAAATTGTAGAATATTTCAACATATTTTTCCAAAAGGAAACTGTCCATTGTGAATACAGGGGATGTCCTGTAAAATCATTACGCCGAAACTGCTTGACATGTGAATATCAGCACATGGTCATATAAAACGCCTCTGACCCGCAACCGTCTGAATGCTGAGAAAATGCTGTCCCTTGTTGTTATAGCGACCCCCAAGTTGTGCTAAATAAGTACACTACGTTTACAATGTCGCCAGGAGATCAAGCTGCCACGTTAGGTGGAAAATAGGCTCTGGGTGTTCGGTTGGGTCATAGGGTCATAGTGCCCGCTGTGAAGTTTCTCGAGACATTTTCGTTTCCACTCGCAAAAATGCCCAAATTTCGTCGTTGTCTTCACGTGTTTTTATACGTATTCGGGTAGGGGTCAACTTGACCGCTCAAAAGGTTCTTCGAAATGGCTTCCGAACGGCACGGTGAAGCCGCGCAAAGTTTTGATGGCTGTAGACAATGTGATAGTAAATTGCCTGACAACAAAAAATGGGATATACGTTGTAAGGTGGCCGATCTACGGCAGATCAAATTCAGGCCATGGCTTCGGCGAAGTCAATTTCTAAAGAATCATTCAATCTGATGCAACAACGGAGTGTTAGGCACAGCCATATATCTCTGAGATACTTTCTTAGACAGCACAACAATTGAATGAACAAGTTTTATCGACCTAGGGTCAGGTATGAATGTGAGACCGAGGTGAAAACCAACCTGCTTTATTACTCCAGTGCTTGCTCTATGGCGTGGTTTCTGGTGCTAATATTGAACTTATTGATAACAGGAACGGTATTATATATCTTCCATATACCTTTTATAGGTCAAAATAGGTCGTTGACCTAAATAATCCAGGTCAAAGTTTTATTTTTAGGAGCATAGTGCATAGCATGATGCTTGTCACTTGTTCAAATGCAGGGCAGTCTTAGCAGTCTTAACAGCTAAGACTGACACGCTTTTACAGACACGCACGGTTTTACTTCTCTTTACTTCACACGGACACGCACGGTTTTACTTCTCTTATTGCACATCGTTCCGATGGGAACATAATCCGCAGTTGAAAATGGCGTATGCCGATAAGTGTGACATCCACACATTTGAACAGGACACGGTTCATGTCTGTAAAAGTTAACTGAAAGCTTAACCAACTCTTGAAAACAGTTGGAAACCAAGGATATATAAACACGCAGATGATTGGACGGCCTGTTTCCGTTGCCGCCTGCGCTTCTGTTAGAAATGACCTATAGGAGGACATCTTAATGACATGACCAATCTCAGATATCCATTCTCCTACCTTCATATCATAGCTATACTCGCAAATTCTGATTTCTCCATAAATTTAACCCACTTTATAACTACTTTCGGATGAAAACGATCAAAAATGAAGCGATGGGTTGCAATTCGATGGGACCAAACGTGACTGGATCGCAGTCAGAACAGCTGTCAGTTGGGGATGGGAGCAAAAAGTAAAGTGCTCATACAAATGCTTCTAGGCTCTTGGTATGACTGCTTAGCTTTCAGAGTGTTGCCAAAAAAGATGGATATGATCCTGCTGCGTCATAAAATATACTTTCTTTACCATATATCTTCTACCTCACCTGCAAAAATTAAACGATCTGCCCATGTACATTATGCGTCACATTATGGTAAGCTCCTTAGAAGTGGGCGTGTACAAGAAATACCGTGCGAATTCGTCAGCGCAGCCGGTGACACCGTTGGAGACGTCCGTTCACTGGTATCTGACCGTGACCGTCTATCAGTGGTTAGCGGCCGACCTATAAAAGCGAAAGCATCAAGAGAGCAGACACCACTTGTACAGCACACCCAGCCATCAGAACACACCATGCAGGTATGTACTGGAATAATGTCATGGATATGATGCCTGCTGGTTACTAGACAGTTTATTTCAAGCCATGTACACTCTGGCCTTAGCGATGTGACATGCATTGCACAGAGGGTGAGGTTGTAAGATATATCGTAGCAAAACTGCGTCACTAAAATGACCGCTTGATCCGTCATACATCTTCTACGGCATTGCAGGGCTTCGTCATTGCCGCCGTGCTGGCTGTCGCCTCCGCCGCCCCGGCACCGGAGACGCCGGGCTACAAGCCCGCTCCGTCCCCCTACCACCCGGCCCCCTCCTACAAGCCGGCCTCTTACCACCCGGAGCCCCAGTACAAGGAGGAGGCCAAGCCGTTTGCTTACGACTATGCCGTCAACGACCACTACACCGGCACCAACTTCGCCAAGAAGGAGGAGAGCGATGGCCATAACACCCAGGGATATTACTCGGTGGCTCTTCCCGACGGCCGTGTCCAGCACGTCAAGTACGTCGTCGACAACTACGGCGGCTACAACGCTGATGTCACCTACGAGGGAGAAGCCCAGTACCCCGAGTACCACCCTGCCCCTGCCTACAAGGTTTCTGCACCTGCCTATAAGGCTGCCGCTCCGGCCTACAAGCCTGTCCATAAGTCTGCTTACGGCAGTGCCGCTCCGGCATACAAGCCTGCGACATACTAATAACGGGGTTACAACGGGCTCCTATTTGTGTACCTTTAGGTTTTCGTCTGATGATTTTCGTCTCTTGCCTTGCGGTACGTGAATAAAAAGATTCGTTCGAGTCATGCGATCTTGACGAAGGCAATCCCACGCCTTCCACCTGATCCAGATGTCATCTGACTGGGACAAATATCTTTATAAACCGACGATAACGACAACAACATTTATAATGACAATTAAGCAACTTTCTTTGGTGGATTGTTGATACTTACAGAGCTTCATGGTTGCAGGCTTCTTAAATTTTCAGCATCATTGTAGAGAAATTCAAAATGCTTGCCTGGAAAAAGTTTCTGTCATCACTACATGCGGTGTACAATGAAAGCATCACACTTAAACTTCCTGATATCGGACAATCAGCATATTGTCTTATTAAACACCTCTGACCCGCGACAGTCCAAG